TGAAAAATCTCAGTATGTGGATTCATTGCTACTTCAACCTGGTTCATACTATGTTAAACTCTGCTATTTCTCAAAGCATGCGAATTGCAAACTTAGTTTACCTCGATCGACCTTTTTCAGAATTTGGCAAGAGATCCAAACAAAGAGGGCAGAACTATTCTTAATCGTAGCAGCATCGTACGAAGCATGCATGCATAGCCTGTAGAGTGGGAATTATAGTAACATATGAAGAGAAAAGTATTGTCGAATAAGTTGGTGCCGTTTTTCCAAATTTTTTCTAAAAAGAAATCGGATGTTTTGGCAGCCTCCTATATGATTTAGAAGTAGGACTCTTTTTACAGTGTAATGTTTCATTTGTTCAAAGATTTTGGGTTTGCTACTAGAATTGTTCAAATACTGTCGATAGCTTATTTTTCTGGGTTGCGAAAAGCTCGTGTTGCTGTTACGCTACCTAGTTAGGTAATTGGCATGGCGATTACAGAAACATAGCAATTTCCTACGTAATTGGCTATGGTGATCAAAACCATTGCCATCTCCTACTGCACGACCTTACTGTAATTTGCGGTAGGTGTACTATGCAGGATCAAATTCACTGATTTGCTTGAAAATCTTTCTACTGGGGTTACAAGCTGATTACATATCGTATTCATCCTCCATGTTAAAGCCATTTTATACGATTGACATTTAACCAGTTTTTCCTTTTTTAGGAGGTCAGGGTTAAATCGTATATTCGTCCTTATTTCAAACTGAGGGCTTATTGTGCGATTTGGGAGCAGATCAGCATGTCATCAAGGACCCACTAGATCACTTTTCAGACAAATTCGTGTTTTTGACTTTTGTAGCATATGCCTTTCGTAACCCGCCGATAACAACGCCCTGTAGTGGAAAATGGATGTGATTTTCGCAATAAGCAACTCGAACACCCCACAAGTTGGATTACAGCTTCAGGCTTTTTGAATTGCAGAAAAACTATATGTTTAGCTTTTTTCGGTTCTCTAGACTTTCAACTCCAATCGGTAACACTTTAACACAGCCGAAATTACCGAACAAGCTAAACAAACCTCCTGTAGAGGGAGATTCTATTTCTGAATGATGTACAATTTCTCAGAAGAATTTGTTTGATGGGCTTCACAGAAAAATCATAAGTTTTGCGTAATTACATTTTGGTAATTATGCAATCCAACATGTAGTTGTCAAATCTGCATAAAATTAATTTTTCGTCTTTGCAAAGTCAATCCGCACTTAAAATTTGATGCCTGTTTTAGCCAGCCAATTGGCACATGCGCATGGTCTGGGTGTCCTTTTCACCGGCATTGATTCTGCTGTGTGCTCTCTTATAGTGCAAGGAATTACTTCTTACCAGACCAAGCAGGTATGTGTCAATTGTATAAAGAAAATTGAATTTGTAACAACACTTTTTAGTATATTGATCGTTACTATCCTGAAATTGGAGGAAAGCCGGAGTTTGTTGACGTTGAAGAGAGGGTGAGCACAACGTTCTTAGGGTTCAGGTGACTGTAGAGGTCTTTACCATTCAGGAGCTATCTGATCATCAGTCTTTCAAGCGACACCTGCGCATAGCTATTCGCGACTCCATAGTTCGTGTAGCAACCGTAACGGTAGCACGGCCTTTAACTGGTGCGTTATCAGGCAAATGGAATTGTTA